CCGGCATTGGCTCGCTGGCAGGTGCCTTCAAGGAGACGGGAGCCCTCGACTTGCTGATGGAGATGCTGTGCCACAAGGAGCAGCAAATCCGCCACAGTGCCGGCAAGATGCTGAGGGCCCTGGCTTCGCATGACGCAGGTGGGGGCTGGTGCTGCTCGGTGCCACTGAGGAGGTGCTGGTGGGCAGCTGAGGGGTGCCAGGCCTGTCGCAGGTGTGGGATGCCTGGGAAGCAGTGTGTCTCGGGGCTCGTTGGCGAGAGGGGAAGGATCAGAGTGGAGCTTCCAAGCGGCTCCCTGGTCGTAGTTGTCTGGGGTGCTCTAAGACTTGGGAGCTCTTTCCCCTGATGGGTTCCTGAGCTGGGATGCTGACTAACTGTTAGGAGGACTTATGCCAAGGGATTTGGCAGAGCGTTGGGGTGTCTCTGCTGCATGCTGTGAGTTGGAAAGGCTCTGGCCCATTCTTGGCAGGGAGCCTTTCCTCAGGCCCTGATGGGCAGGGGCCTGGTCCTCACCCAGTCCTCTCATTTGAGAGGAGCTGCTGTGGCTTGGAAGTTCCTGATGAGGTTGAGGGACACAGCTGCCACTTTCCTGTTTGCAGGTTCAACCCGTAGCAAAGCTGAGCACCCATCCCAGAGACACATGGACACACACAGGACACTGGCACGGCTGGCCACAGACAAGGCGCTGCCTTCAACAGCACGTACATGCGGGACTCACACAAACACGAGCACAGACAGCCAAGTCCCCTCCTCCTCTTCGCCTGGCAGAGACAGAAGGTCGCTTGTGCGGCACACACGGCACTCTCCAGATTCACCAGCACTCGCCAGATTCACAAGCACACACTTCACAGATCCCTTGAGTACCAGCACGGCCCCTCTGTCTGCCTGGCACCCCTGCCGGGATCCGAGCCCTGCTGCCTGCCTCAGGGGCCCCCCTGCCCGCCACCTGGTCGAGCCCGATGCTCGGTAGCAAACACAAAGCACTCCGACACTTGTCCCTCACGCAGTCCGCTTGCAGAAGTCCCTTTGGACTTCCAGCACAGACCGCCACCCGCCTCACACCCTGGCCTGGACCCAGGGCGTTCTGCTTGCCAGCTAGTCCAGCATGAAGTTTTGCTGACGAATTGCGTGCACAGCCCACGTGCAGCAGGACTGGGGAAGATACAGGCGCTCGCCCCCCTGACATCAGGCACTGCAGCCCTGCTTCAGCTGCTGGTGCTGAGCTCCTCGCTCGCCTCCCTCCCAGCAGCCAGTTTTCTGGGACAAGCACTGTTCCCTGCCTGGAGGCTGGTGGCTGAGGACCCCACCCGCTCCAGTCGCTAGCACTGAGACCCTCGCACTCGCTCCAGTAGCGGGCACCACAGGCCAGGGGCGCCTGCACCCCTAATCTGACTCCAGCAGCTGGCACCCAGTCCACCCCATGCCAGTCTCCCCAGTAGCGGGCACTCCAGGCTCAAAGTCTGTGGGACCCTCCCCAGATCCCAAGGGTGATGGCCCTCCCAGCTGCTAACGCCAGGACCCTCACTCGTGCCGGTCGCTGACACGACAGGACTCTCACACCCCCAGTCGGGCTCCAGTTGCTGGCACCAAATTCCACTCACACACACGCAGGGCTCACCAGCAGCCGGCACTCAGTCCCTCGCAGCACACGCACACGAAGGATAGAGATAGTTTTAGAAAAGATTTAAGAAGATGATGTAAGAAAACAGGACAAACCACGGCGATGGGGCGCAGGGCTCAGAGAAGCGCACTGACTGGCCACGGTTTACAGGTGACTGGCCCCTGTTATACCTCCTTCTGTGCACCCCTCTGTGTTCCTTGCCAGTTCCCTTCCCATGCACACTGCCCTGTCGTTGGCCTAGTTCCACTGAGTCCCCTCCAACATCCCGGACCCTCAGGGTTACATCCTGATCAGTTGCAAAGTCCCAGTTTGTCTGCAGTTTCTTCTTAGCACGTCAATTAGTGCAGCTGACTGGGTTCATTTCGACTTACTATCTTTGTTAACTGTAGTTGGTCAGGTTTTATGTCTCCGGGTGTTTGTCTCCTTGCCTTTCCTTATCATCCCAATTTGTCAAGGTCCTTAGATTATCTTACTGAGGAGTAAGCGTTCTCACACTCCAGATGTCCTCACTCATTAGCATGACTGACCAGATTTGTTTCTCTTCACTGCCTCCAGTAGCATTTGTCAGTCAGGTTTGTGATTCTTTCTGTTCTTCTTTATGGCTTCCTTCTTCCTATCCCTTTTTTCAGTGAAAAGATCCTTGACTGGATACACTTAAAGGAGCAGACAGTCTCCTTCCCTTACAATGAAGACCTGTGCCAACGGGCTCGGCAGAGCCTTGGTGGGCAGGGGCCCAGTCCTCACCCAGTCCTATTGTTTGAGAGGAGCTGCTGTGGCTTGGAAGTCCCCAGTGAGGCTTGGGTGCACCTGGGAGGTTGCTGGTGGTGGTGTGTTCCAGAAGAGATCTGGCTTTCCCTGTCCTAGTGCCTGAGTTCGTGTGGATCTCCAGATGAGGGGCTGATTCAGGTTAAAATGCAACTTTTTTCTTCCCTGGATCCCTGCGCTGGTGTCAGTTACTTGGGGTTGCTCCTTTGGGGGACTCTTGCAGCTTTAGGGGTGGAAAAAATGCCGTGTTTCTCAGTGGAGCAAAATGTTGTGAAAGCCAGATTGAAGGGCAGAACGTGGTTCTAGGTGACACTGAGCAGCAAAGCTGTTCTTGCCTGCAAGTCCGTGTGGCGCGGGGAAGGTGGGGTGAGGGTTATCTTTATGGGCCCTGGAGGGTTTCTGTTGTTGTTGCAGGCAGCCGGGCCTATGTCCTGCTGTCCCTGAGCCAGCAGGATGGCATTGAGCAGCACATGGACTTTGACAGTCGCCACACCTTGCTGGAGCTGTTTGCTGAGACAATATCTTCTGAAGAGCAGTGTGTGTCCTTCGAGTGATGGTCGCTACACCTTGCTGGAGCTGTTTGCTGAGATGATGTCTTCTGAAGAGCAGTGTGTGTCCTTCGAGGGCATTCACCTTCCCCAGGTAGCAGCAGGCCCTGCCAGCCCTGGGCCTGTGGGCTTGCGGGGTCTGGAGGGGCGAGAGTGGGGGGCCGGAGCTGGTGTCCTTGTCTGGGCCAGGAGGGCAGCGAGCAGCTGAGCAGGACTGGGTGTGGGGAGAGCTGGCACGGGATCTGGGCCTGGCTTGAGGGTGAGGGGTGATGGAGAGGCACATGGAGAGCCTTGTCTCTGAGGAGGGTGATGAGGGTGGGCTGAGAGGTCTCCGCTGCTGCCTGCTGGTGCGGAGCTATCACGGGAGCCTGATGACTGTGGATGAGCTGGTGGCTGGGGGCGAGCTGGGGGCCGGAGGGGCTCCTCAGGCTTGGGTCTGACAGCCGTGCTTATTGCAGATCCCCGGGAAGCTGCTGTTTGTCCTGGTGAAGCGCTACCTGTGTGTCACTTCTCTCATGGACACGCTGAGCAGTGGCGCGGAGGAAGGAGGGGAGCGGCAGGGCTGCCCTGGGGCCAGCCTGGTCGCTGAGGAGAGGAGCCGTGTGAAGCAGGAGTTTGAGTTCAGCATGGCCATGGCCAACCTCCTCTTGGAGCTGGTGCACGTGATGGGCTGGGACCACAGCCACGAGGCAGAGCTGGTGCCCCAGCAGGACCTGCGGCCTCGCACCACCCACTCCATCTTCCAGCCCAAAACCCCAGCCTGCACCGCTGCCCAAATGCCTGTGCTCACTTCAAATCGTGGTCGTCGCAAAAAGCAGGGTGGTGCCTTCCTGACCCGGTCAGACTTCTCAGACCGCAGTGGCTATGTGGAGTACTTACAGGCAAACCTGGTGCGCGGCACGCGGGTGCGCTTGCTGGAGGACTCTGGTGATGTTAGAGCTGGGGAGGAAGGCGAGTTTCTTCAGAGCACTAACAGCATGCACACAGCACAGGTAGGTCGCTGATGGAAGTAGTCTGGCTGGGATGGCAGAGGGGAGTGACAGGGGTGACAGGGGTAACAGATGATTCCCTAACGATGTGCAGGAAGTTGGATAATAGGCGTATCATAATTAGGGCACTGTCTGCGTCTGCCTAGCAAAGAAGTCACTTTTCAGAGCTGGAAGGTCCAGAGGAAAGCTAGTGTGTGGTTTATCGTGGGCTGTCCTGCTAAGATTTCTTAGCCTGGTGGCTATATCCTGCCTCCCAGGAACAGTCCCTAGCTCTGGTTTGATCTTGGGGGGGTGGCTTGGGAACAGGCTAGCTGGCATAGACAAGTAACACAGCAAAAGGCGATCGAAGGTCTTAAGCCTTGGTATGTGAGTTACAGTACTTACAGCATTCTGTTGTTCTAGCTGGGTTGGACGCAGCCTGCATAGCTGTTTCTTTTGATCTGCAAGTATATGCCAGGATCTGTTTCCTTTTAAAAACGCACTTTGGGTGGGTAGACCTTAAATGAGAGTTTGTGTTGAAAAGAGCTGTTAGAGCTGCATATTTGCAGTTGAGTTGTGAAGTTTGTGCCAGAGATTAGGGAAAAGGCCTCAATATTTGAGGAGTGGGAGGAATCATGGAATACTTTGGGTTGGAAGGAGCCTTCAAAGGTCGTCTAGTCTTAACCTCCCTGCAGAGAGCAGGATCAACTGGATCAGGTTGCTCAGAGCCCTGTCCAACCTGACCTTGAATGTTTCAAAGGATGGGTCATCTACCACTTCTCTGGGCAACCTGTTCCAGTGTTTCACCACCCTCATTGTAAAAAATTTCTTCCTCATATCCAGTCTGAATCTACCCTCTTTCAGTTTAAAACCATTACCCCTTGTCCTGTCACAACAGGCCGTACTAAAAAGTTTGTCCCCACCTTTCTTACAAGCCCCCTTCGGGTACTGGAAAGCAGCTATAAGGTCTCTCTGGAGCCTTCCCTTCTCCAGCCTGAACAGCCCCAACTCTCTCAGCCTTTCCTCATAGGAGAGGTGCTCTATCCCTCTGATAATTTTTGTGGCACTTCTCTGGCCCCGTTTAAACAGGTCCATGTCTTTCCTGAGCTGAGGGCTCCAGAGCTGGATGCAGGACTCCAGGTGGAATCTCACCAGAGCAGAGGGGCAGAATCACCTCCCTTGCCCTGCTGACCATGTTGCTTTTGATGCCGCCCAGGATACTGTTGGCCTTCTGGGCTGTGAGTGCAGATTGTCGGCTCACGTCCAATTTTCATTTACCAGTACTCCCAAGTCCTTCTCGGCAGGGCTGCTCTCAATCCCTTCATGCCCCAGCCTGTATTGATACACCAGGGATTGCTGTGACCCAGGTGCAGGAGCCTCTTCTTGGCCTTGTTGAACCTCATGAGGTTCACATGGGCCCACTTCTCAAGCTTGTTCAGGTCTCTATGGATAGCATCTCTTCCCTGTGGCGCATTGACTGTACCACTCAGTTTGGTGTCATCTGCAAATTTGCTGAGAGTGCACTCAATCTCACTGTCTACGTCATTGATGAAGGTTTAAACAGTACTGGTCCCAGTACAGTTCCCTGAGGGAGGCTACTCGTTACTGATCTCCATCAGGCCATTGAGTTGTTGACCACTACTCTCTGGAGGCAACCATCCAGCCAGTTCCTTGTCCACTCAATAGTCCATCTATCAAATCCATATCGCTTCAGTTTAGAGAGAAGGATGTGGTGAGGGACTGTGTCAAAGGCTTTACAGAAGTCCAGATAGATGACATCCATAGCTCTTCTCTTGTCCATTGATGCAGTCACTCCATCATAGAAGGCCATTAGGTTGGTCAGGCAAAACTTGCCCTTGGTGAAGCCATGCTGGCTTCTTGAAATCACCTCCCTGTCCTCCATGTGCCTTAACATATCTTCTAGGAGGATCTGTTCCGTGATCTTCCCAGGCACAGAGGTGAGGCTGATGGATCAGTAGTTCCCAGGGTCCTCCTTCCTACCCTTTTTAAAAATGGGCACAGTGTTTCCCTTCTTCCAGTTACCAGGGGTTTCACCTGACTGCCATGACTTTTCAAATATCATGGAGAGTGGCTTGGCAACTACATCAGTCAATTCCCTCAGGACTATGATGAATCTCATTGGGCCCAATAGACATGTTCAAGTTCCTCAGGTGGTCTCGAACCTGATCTTCTCCTACAATGGGAGGGACTTTGCTGTCCCAGTCCCTGCCTTGAGGTACATCCACTCGAGAGGTGTGGAAAGAGAGGTTGCTAGTGAAGACTAAGGCAAGAAAGTTGTTCAGTATCCCAGCCTTCTTATCTGTTGTTACCAGTTTACCAGTCTTGTTCATCATGGGGAGTAGACTTTTTTTGACCTTCCTTTTCTGGCTGACATACCTACAGAAGCCCTTCTTATTAATCTTGGTGTCCCTTGCCAAGTTCAGCTCCAGCTGCGCCTTTACCTTCCTGACCCTATCCCTACACCACTGGGCAATGTCCCTATACTCTTTCCAGGTTACCTGTCCCTGCTTCCACTGCAGGTGCATTCCATTTACTTCTTGCCCTTTCATTTGACCAGCAGGTCATGACTCAGCCATGCTGGTCTCTTGCCTTCACAGAATCACAGAATGGTAGGGGTTGGAAGGGACCTCGGTGGATCATATGGCCCACCCCCCTGCCGAAGCCGGGTCACCTACAGCAGGCTGCACAGGACCTCGTCCAGGCAGGTCTTGAATATCTCCAGAGAAGGAGATTCCACAACCTCCCTGGGCAGCCT